TCAGTTTTCTCTAGTAAATGTTACCCAATATTAGTTCAATATCGATAAAATTTGATATTATAATACATGGTAATAACATTTAGCTATATGTAAAATTTCAATATATATTATTATGTAGGATTTTCCAATCGGATTATGATAAAATGAAAAATGATCGGCAAATGATGACTGCTAGGATAAGAGTGCTCATATTTTGCTCAGAAAGTCACGAAAAAAATTTTTACACCCATCATGTTATGTAAAAAATTAATTCTTCCCCTAACAAGTTCTGCTTTCACCTATTTCTGCAACAGTTTTCGGCTCTGCTCATACTTTTCAATAGCTCAGCGTGAAGAGAGGCTTGCTTTATTAAAAGAGGTACCTTTTGAATCTGCACATTTCAGACCGTGCGTTCAAAAAATAACACTTCTTACTTTTCTCGTAGATTTATACTCCTTCTTTCTCTAAATTAAAGAAGGGTCGAAAGAATATTTAGATCTTGGTAAATCTGGGAAGTTCTGGGAGAACTATTTTCACCTGTTTGAATGGCGCGCACAGGATTATGGTACGAACAGTAAATTCTAATGTTTTTGCTCGGAATGTCAATTATGTCAATTTTTTACTTCCTCGATAGACTTTTACACAAAAAACTCCAGTTTTCTGGATGATATATCTGTCATCAAAGATACTATCGAGATTCTAACCAAAGATCTTCTTCAACGTTTGATTGTAATATTTTCGCATCAAAGTTGTACCATAGAGGGAAATTCACTAGGAAGTGTAGAGTCACAAATCATTTGGGAAAAAATGAACCAAGACTATAACATTGACGATTTGCAACATGATGAAGCACAATTACCCGAACCGAAATCTCTTCTTGATAAACCTGGAAAGGAAATTGAAGTTATTGAAATCTGTAACCACTTGCTTGCGACCCATTATTTATACAATACCTTACTAAATTCAGAAAAAGAAATAAACATCGACAATATAAAAAAGATCCATCGTACTCTTTTGAAAGATACTCCACAAGAGAAAGTTGACTTATGGGGCCAAATCCAGCAAGCAGAAATGCTTCGAACTGTGTCAATGCTGGCATTTGGTTATCATTTGACCATTTATCCAGTAAGCTTTAGTTTATTAATCTCCACTTGTCTAGTTTCATTATGGCTCAATTTGTGTTCTCTGTAGTATGGAGAGGAAGTACCCGTGTTGATGGAAAAGTTTGTATAACTTTACAACAAGACCGTCACTAGCGATAATGTTGGGTATCATGAATCATATCAAATGCACCCTCTTATGAACGCATGTCGCATACTTTCATTCTTCCTTCATATACATCCATTCTACGATGGTAATGGACGTGTTGGACTTTCACTCATGGCGCTTTATCTTGCTCGTGGTGGTTTACCACCCCTTGTTTTTCAACAACTTGATCGAAAAGAATATGCAGACGCACTGTATAAGGCTCAAGCAGAGAAGGATATGGTTCCATTATATAATATAGCGATAGGAAACATTTTGATATTTTAGCATCGTATACAAGGTTACCCGTTAGATAGTGATATGTATATGCATAATATGAGTGTGAATATCAGATAATAAAATACGTAACAAATTCTGAAATTAATGCGCATTTCATTGTATCATAAATATAATATCAATAAAGTTTTACCCATGAAATGGTCATATATTTTTTAAACATGATGTGGTGATGCATCGAAGTATTAATAAATTTCTTGATTGACACTGGCCCTGCTACTGTACCCTTGTGATATATTCTGGGGAATATTGCGAGGAAGATCTGGATAACCTGTGGTGTATACACATCTCCACTCGCACAAAAAAATGAATTGCGCAAAGTTATTAAAGTTTTGAGTTTATTCAATGATACCCAATTCTTGAAGATACTTAGGAATAACTATATATGGGTCTACATAATATCAAACATACCTTAATGCATCTGGTTCTTTTCGCATAATTCTTTCTTGAGTTGATCCTGTGCTTGCTGTTTGATGAAATTATTCAGGTCTCCTCTATGAAAGAATTCATGATATTTTTCATGTTGTTCTCCCTGCACTTCGATTGCAAAATCATAGTGGTAATAAGGAATATCAAGTTCTAATCCTCTCGGATGTTCTAATGTTTTTAGAAAATCAGGTTTACGATTTTTTGAGGGTGGTCCTAAATATTTTGATATGATCTCACGGCATAAATTCTCACGCTTAAAAAATAAACATAGTGAGCACCAGCCTCCTCTTAAAATAGTTTTTGGAGGAGCTTCCCATATATGAGATTTTTCGTAACGCCAAAGAAGCTTTGTATGTGCATCGTAATATCATTCTAAAAGACAGTCTCCATTATTTCTTTGTGCTAGAATTTTCATATCAGAAATAGTCCGATTTTGTCTACCACAGATAGGACACCATTGGTGATGGTCTTTAAATTTGTAGTCTATATATGACCCTTGTCACATTTTCACTGTAAAGGTGTTTTATTATTTACATAATCTAAAGAGAGGCCATCCCCATTTTTGATACGAGCCAGAGACTTTGCTGTCTCAATACTATGACGATTGCATTCAGGGCACCATGTATTTTTATTTTTTACATGATCGAATGCCATAATAAAACGTATTTACTATTATCAAATTTTTCAGAAAGACATTCACTACCCCTACTAATAGCAATTTGTTTAGCATTCTCAAGTGTAAGACATCGATTAAATTGACATTGTGGATATCATTTGTCACTATTTTTTATGCTAGTAAAAGAAGTATACTATTCATAGCCTATAGCACAACACCACAATAATGGCAAATTGCTATTTGTATACTTTTCAGAAAGGCAGTTATCATTTCTATCATGTGCAATTTGTTTGGCCTTTACAATTGAATAATGGCAATTAGGGGTATACTGTGGATACCATGAGATTTTACGTTTTATATTAGCAAGATAAGCAAACCATTCATGATCCACATCACAGTTTCATAATGAAGGTGATGATCATTAATATACTTATCTGAAAGACACAGTCCTCCTCACTCTATAGCAATATTACAAGCAATGTCTAAAGATAATTTAGGTGACATTGTTTTCTTAAGTATATTTTTCCTTTAATTAAGATGGTGGCTAATAAGAACTAAATTATCATATTTAATATATCTTGTCCCTCCTTTTTTTATCTTTAAACATTTGATAAAGCTTGTTTCCCAATAATAAGTTCACAACTTCATTAGTTTTTCCTAAATTGGTACAGCCAGAAATTAATACTATAAATGACCACTGGGAATTTGAGTTCAATCTGTTGAATCTTTTTGCATATATTATCTCATCAATATAGAGAACGATTCTATCTACTGGATCAAGCTTTCTGATTTGAAATTTTTTATGATCTTTCATATTACTTAATATCATACTTTAAAAATATATTATGAAATTTTTGGATGGGCTGTCAGAAGCCTTTTCTACTTAACTTGAGGAATTATTCAAGAATCCTTTCTCAATCAGCGTATGCTTAATGTAAGGGAAAAGGTTACATGTATATGACACTTCAATAAGACATATATCTTGCTCCTTACATATACAGTCATACCTCTCTATAGCCAATTTTTATATAACGAATTTTTTGGACAACTATATTAAATTTACCCTCATTATAACGAACTAGCCAATCAAATTCTTTAAAAAATTCACTATAGCTCTATAGCGAAGTTGAAGTTCAGGACATGAAATTCGTTATATCAAGGGTTGACTGTATCTCACTTCTTCTGATCTCGTGATTTTTGTTCCTTCAAATCTATATCTCCTCTCCTATGAAACATTGAATTAAAAGTATAATGTTGCCGACCATGGAATTCAAATGCTAGTTATAGTTCTTCGTTATACCTATCGAGTTGATTCCATTTAAAAATGATGGTCTATAGGATAATTCATTTTGTTAATATATTTATAAATTAAAATTTATTTCTTTAAATATAATTTTTCTAGTTATATAGTAGTTAAATAAAAAAATTTTTAACTTTTATTATAAAATTGTTATTTTTTGAATTAGTAAATAAATAATATCTGTGATGTATTATAATTATTAATTTTGTCAATTGTAATAACTAAATTTGAAAAATATAATGGTAAAATATTTATATAATTTCTATAATCCTTTATAAATTATTATATAAGTATATTTTTATACTTATATCTTTTAATGTTCATATAATTTTCATATAATATTTTAATAAATTTTATAGAAATTATATAAAATATTTTAATGATATATTATTTTATAAATCTTTATTTAAAATTATATATATAATTTATATTATTTATTTTTATTAGCAAAGACATATATTATATAAATTTTATGTATTACATTTTTCAGTTTTCCTGATAATATATACTTGAAATCTTTGACAAACAACTTTACTTAATAGTATATGATAGCTAATATTAATAGAAATTGAATAAATCACCCTTTTTAAATTTTTTACAAATATTTATATTTTAATATAAATTGAATTAAAAATTATTCAAATATATTGTTTGTTATTTAAATTCTTAGTTAATTTATGAACTAATTTAATATTAAGCGGTCTTAAGTAATGTTGTGGACTTAATGCTGTCCACTGAATAAATCAAAACTACTGGCAATATTTTCATTATATTTCTATCCTATGATGCGATGTTTTCGTCCCCACCGACAAAAAGTTAACAAGCATATAAAGTTTCATTCATGATCTTATCGAAGTAATGTAAGTGGTAATGCCGATACAGAACTTAAATTATGAAAGGCACTAATAAACTTATACCCAATAATTTTATAATTTTCAGCGACCTCTCGTTGCATATACGAATTAACTATAACAAAAAAAGCGACACGCCGAATTTCCAAAAGATAATAGATAAAAAAAATTTCAGGATGAATTCTGCAAAAGTAAATCTGGTCTTTGTTTTAATAAGTTAACGCAACCAATTCGCATGATGTCACGTAAAATAGATCAATGACAATCCTATAAAAAATGTGAATGTTCGTGGAATTATCGTTGGAGCTATAGGCATAATTACACAAGAACGGATCAAAAATTGACATTTTATTTCTTTCGTTCCAATCAAGAAATAATCTAGTACGTTGAATCATGAGTACTGTATATACAATTTATAGGCACGAAGAAATGGAATAACCTATAAATTTAACAAGCCAATTTTTTTTTTAAAAAACATAAAAAAAAAAATATTTGAAATGATTACTTAATTAACTTAAATACTTATCAAAGTTGGCGACGTTCTAGTATTAAGGAACAATCAATCGATAATCAATATACGCAAGGTATATTTTGATAATGTCCTTAACATTAAATTTTTTTTTTTGAATGTATCTGATAATTATATAATTAATAATTTATTTTAAAAAAAAACATTTGATTGTATGTGATTCGATTTAATAGAAATTTGTCACGAGAATTTTATTTATTTTCATATCACTCTCAATTATAAATTTGCACATTTTTTTATTATTTTTATTTGTTAAACTTTTTCAACTTTTTATAATGCAAGACAACAATAGAAAAGAAGCTCCTTCTGATATTGCTACTAACGCTCCAAAAATTAGGAAGCCAGTTGCTTCAGAGGACTGCAGGTTGTTTAATAGTAGTAAATATTGGGGTATTCTCGTTCCTATTAACGAGGAAACAAGTGATCGAATAGGAACTATTTACCTCGACGAGGATTATCAAACATTTGGAAAGAACGAAACGCGAAGTGGTGTAAGTCTTTTATAAATATAAAATATATGTATATTTATTTGAAGCTAATTGTTATATATATAAATCAAATTATTTTACGTTTCTTAGTATATTCATATACCAAGCGAACATGAACTTCACTTTATGTTATCTAAGGTGAGGGTTAGAAACTTTAATTCTACTTCATATAACTATGTAATAATGGATTTATCTCCTTTGTTTCGTTTGTTTTAGAACGAACGCGGAATGAAGATAACTAAAATATGGTTGAATATTCGTATATTTTATGTAATTCTAATTAATAAATGCGGATCGAACTAATTTTTAACATAATTAATAGTGGAGACGTATCTTACACCAATCAAAAAGGAATTAAGTCGAAGCTAACTAATGTCGGTGATAATAAAATCATTGTTGAAGGATGCTTTGTTAAAATTATACTCGATAAATTTCACGCAAAATGTGAGTATCATATAACGATAGATTTTAATTATATTTATATTTTTATATGCAAAGTGCTTTGCTTACTTATATTAATGAAATTCAGCATGATCTAATTAACGTATATTCTTAATTAGTTAAGTTTTTACTTGGGAATGTTACTACGGAAATGTAAAGGTAAATAAATATAAAAATCGATTTATTACTATTTTTGAAATTTCTTTGCTATTAATTATGATTATTACCGCAGGTGGCAGTAAAATTTCCGCAATACAAAGTCGAGATGAAGACGAAATACCAATTAATGGTAAAAATTTTTTCACTTGTTTAACACACGATAATTCGTCTGTTAGGAAATGAAATAATTTATTATAGATGATTAATTTATATTTCTTTTTAAAATTACTCATACATTTAGTAGAAATATATTATTCTTTGGTTGTTGAACAATGCGAATAATATCATAACAGGATTTTATTATTAATTTACATAAATGATTTTTAAATATGAAGTTTAGCAAGGTGCTCATATTTTTATTAACTAATAAAAAATATTTTTAAAAATTTGATTTTTACAAAATGTATATTAAAAAAAATATGACTCTCAAAACATTCCACTACACAGGTTAAGAATACCCTTCATTTCATTCAAAGTAACTTGTGAAGCAATAAAATCTTACAGATGTATTGGCAACATTACAATATTTTTATTTCGGAATATGCTACAATTCGTTAAATTTTAAACTATGTAGAAATACTATGACGCAATTCAAGCGGACCAGTGTTTGCACATTCCGTAAAAAGAGTAAAAGGTCTGCCTTGCTAAAGAACAATGGAATGAGAAAAATAGAAAAACATAATTATTATTTTTAATAATTCAAACATTTTACCCGAAATTTTTGTCTTCAAAGATCAAATACAATTTTAATGTAAAGCTTATAAAAATTTGAAAAATAGTTGCTTGTGAAAATCCTAATTTTTTATTTTTTAAACACACAAGATTGCAAAAGATGTCATTCATCTTTAAAAAAGATGAACTTGAAATATATAAACTTGAGATTTGATTATTGTCATATTCTCAAATGAGTATCTCAAAGTATCCTTATTCCAAACTTTCTTTCTCGAACGTAAATAATTATCAATACATACATACATACATATATATATTTTTTTTAATTATGCACTGTATTAATAGAAAAAATAATTTTTTTCTTTTTCTTTCCTTTTCAGTATATATGGAAAAACATTGTTCGATATTATTATTAAAAAAAGTGGAGTATCGAATGATGAACGCGATTTCAGGAAACATACGTATATAGAAAGTCGTTGAGTTATAAACTCCTATAGGAACCTTTAATAATTGGTTGTCATGGAGTCTGATTTGCCATTTTAATTATGTTAAATATTAGATTTGATCCGCATTTTAAATATAATGTTGACCATATTTTAGTAAACTTTAGTGATATGAATAAAATTGAAGTTTCTGAGCAAATTCACCTTAGATAACATAAAATGAAGTTGTTATATGAGATGCTAAGAAACGTAAAATAAATTAATTTATATATTTAATAACTATTTTATCATATATCATTTTAAAAAAGACTTACGCCACTTCGCGTCTCGTTCTTTCCGAATGATTCTTATCGAGGTAAATAGTTTCTTCGTCAATAGGAATGAGCATATCCAAATAATCAAAAAGAACGTGAGAAAATAAATATTTAGTGAGGTGTGAAATCATATTTGTCACTCGCTATTTGTCACACAATAGTGTAAGTTAAGGTCTGCTATTCGCTACAAGTCACATGTCCTAGCTTTTTTCTCGAAATTTTACTGCGCTGATCGTGAAAGTCTTTATTATATGAGAATGATTATTATAAGTTTTGTTACTACCTGATTAGGCGGACTGAATTGAATTGTGATTTCTTTATCCAAACGAAAAAATTTCAATAATTTTATATTATTGATCCGATCTCGTGTAATTATAGCTATAGATATTGGAAATATTTACCTCTTGAATTAAATTTGTTATATCGAGCATTTAAAAAATTGTTATTTACTACTTTTAGCTTAGAAATTATTAGGCGGCTGCAGCGAGCAAGAAGTTCTTTATTTTCGTGGGCGGAATTTACAATCTTTTCTTTTTTTTAAGCTCCAATTTTTGAGAGGTAAGCTGAATATATATATTTTTCATATTTTTTAAATGAATAATTTTTTATTATGGGTGATTGGCTATTAAAATAACTTACGATACGGAACATATTTAAATCATATGATCCTTAAGGTGATTTAATAAAGATAACTCTTATGTCCTCTTTCGGGTTAGTTCGTTTCCAGAATTTATAAGTTATTACGTTTAATTAATATTTGTATACCGAGATTTTCCACCTTCGTTCGCTTCAGGTTGAAAATTCGAATAATGGGGAGATTAGCGGAGGCTGTTGATCGTTGTAATAATTACACTCTTAGTCCTCCCTAGTTTCTATTATAAAAAATCCACGCAGTACCTTGGGGTATGTGTAGATCCGGGAATCACAACTACGTGATGTGTCTTGGGTTTGTCGGCTTTAGTTAGCATTGTTTTAATATTTTTTTTTCGTCAAATATATCGAATCTCTAATCGGAATTAAATAAAAATTTCCCCAATTACATACCTTCATATAATTAATTACTCTTGCACTTGATTATCTGAAAATAAATTAAAGTGATACTATATAATATATTAATGAAATGAAAGCTATTTAGTCATCAGGTTAATTTTAATTCTTGAAAAAAAATTCTATGATCCTTTTTGTAATTACTATAAAATTTTTGAGATTCGTGAGATAATGTCGTCATATTCGATCTTATGAAAAAAACGTAAAAAATCATCTAAATTTTTTATTCACGTGATTTACATCATGTATAATAGGAAATCAATTTAATATCCGAAATTAAAAATTAAATTAATTACTTATTATGGCATCAATTTCGATATTCTATAAATATGCTATCAAAATCACGATTTTTTTGGAAAAAAATAATAACAATGTTACTATATAATTTAGTAAAAAAATAAATCTATCATATAACTTAACGTGTGATGGTATATAAAATTCAATATTGAATATCAAAATTAATCGATACCATTTTAATTATTTATTATTAGATATATTAGATATATTTAAAATATTAATATCTATGCAGTATGGAATTAATTTTTATAAGGTAAAGTTTTACGACATATGCACGTTAACAAATGTTCATCCTTTCTTGAAATTTAATTTTGAGATTTTTGGGTCTAAATAGAAATGCTTTACTTAAAACCAAATCTTCCTTATGTATAGAATTTTTAGGCAAACTCCAATCGTACTTGATTACTATAAAAATCAAAATTAATTAATAAATCAAACCGAAATAATTTTTAGCGATTATGAATTTTTACTTACGAAACATTGTAAGGATGACTCTTTGTTCCATTACACTAAAGTTTTGTCCAACGCTATTTGAATAAAATATGTTTGTGCTATAAATATACATGTTTCATGTGAAATATAACATGATCATTCATAAATCCTTACCAATTTCTAGGACCAGCACTAAATGGAATATAAGAAAATGAATGAGTCTTTTCATTTTTTTCTTTTGATAACCATCTGTCGGGATCGAATTTATAAGCATTTTTCCAATATTTTGGATCATGGTGTACACCGTAGTTGGAAACTTTTATTATAGACTTCTCTGGAAGTAAATATTCTCCAAATTTCGTTGGTTTCTGAAGTTGTCGATATGATAATGGAGCAGGGTATCGCCTCAAACTTTCTTTTATAATAGCATTTAGATAATGTAAATCCTACATATTAAGAAAAAAGTTAATGAAGTTGATGTCGTTCATAGCACAAGACTTATGTAAATTAATTACCTTTAATTTATCCACCGTTGGTATTTTGACTTCATCGCCTATTACACTTATAACTTCATCCCTTGCCCTCTTTTGCATTTCCTTTTGACAAACTGAATTAGGAAAAAGTGAAGTGTAAAAGCAACGTATTTATTAATAATAAATAAACTTACTGGATATCTTGCAAGATAGTAAATAGAAGAACTTATGGCCATCGATGTAGCTATATAAATAAAGAATATTTTAACGTTAATAGAACTAAAGAATACAAATATGTCCTTACTTACTGTCATTTCCAGCACTAAAGAATGTTATCATATTATCTCTTAACTCTTGCCTTCCGATATAAATATTTTCTTGTTCACTAGCCTCCAACATACTAACTAATAATTCTTCATGTTCGAACGCTTTACTTTCATTTAACTTTTTACGTTTAATTAATTCAATTCTTTTCATGTCAATGATTTCATATATATATTTATCAAAGTCTTTTAATGCTTCATGGAAAATTCTATTTCTTTTGATTGGTAATTTATTTAAAAAAGGAAATACATATAATAAATATGTTTCGACATGATTCATGATAGTTTTATACTTGCGCACGATATCTGGCAATTCTTTAGATTTTAAAGTCTTTAAAAAGAAAAAAAAAGGAATTTATCAAGGATTGAAATTTGATTTAATAAACATATGATAAAAAATACTTACACCGAACGAATGTCCAAAAGCAACCAATCCTAATACTTCAATTGTTATATGTTGTAGCAATTCATAAATGTCGATTGGTTCATGAATTTCGCTGTTCATTAATTTAAAAGCATCCAAGACTACTTCACCCATGACATTTGAAGACAATGAACGATTAAATGCTGGGTTCGATAATTTTCTATGAGCACGCCATTTCTATTTTAATTCAAATTCATGATGAGATTTTTTGATATTCATTGATATTCGTAATTGTGATTCAAGAAGCACCTACTTCACCATTGGAAAAAACGATCCCGGTTCCATAAAATTTATGTACAGGTAGTTCATTACCGAAGTGATATTTGGGAAATGTATCCTCTATTTAAATGTTTATAAATTTTTATTAATTTTTCAAATTGATTTGGAATTTGTATGACATTTTACAAGAAATCTCACCATTCTCAGTTAAAATTTTTTTGGCAAACTCAGCACTTACGATAGTATGATAATCGTATGGTCCCAAACGAGCCTATGTTGTAACTTTGATATTAATATTATTTATTTCAATATGTTTAAAGCGAAGCTTCTTTCAATTGAAATAAGAACCTTGAATATTCCTGATTGATAATATTCATTAGGTATTGGATATGCGATTTCAACATGAGGTCCAGTTAATACAGTCCATACTACGGAAAGAAATGACATTTTTGGAACTTCTTTACCGAGGAATTTAACTTTGTCATCTCTATAAAAGTTTTTATGAAATAAATAAACGAAAATGACCGAAAAGATTATAAATAACCACATTATACTTGTGTTTTATTGATTTAATTTTTTCTTAAAATTTTTAACTCACTTTTATTTATAATATTTTTTTCTTCGGATCGCTTTCTTATGGGAATCTCGTATGTTGATTTACATTTGGATGGAATGATGTTAACAAATACCCCTATATCTGTCATTCTTAGAAATTTGTAAATATTCGAAAGCGATCACCACATGTTGTTTTAGCAGGATCGAATTTAATTGGTCGGAATTCTGGTCAGGATACTTGTGTCACTATCAAATTGGATTTTCGTCCTGAATTTAATCGTGTAAAATTAAATTTTTAATTTAGTATACTGGTATTTATTAATTTGATATTTGTATCACATCTTTATTAGGACACAAACATGATTCGATTGATAATCTACAATAAATGAAATGAAATGAAATGAAATTGAATATGAGTATCATTTATAAAAAAGGTGAATATTATATCGTCAATCATTTCCGAACGGGTTACATTCTTTCGATTAATGTACTTTTTCATATCCCATTTTATATATTTTCATTCATTTCTTCAGTTCTAGGGTTATGTTTGAAATTCACAAGATCGTGTCCGTCATAAATCGAAAAGAGACCAAAATATATATTAAAAGAATAATCAGTTTTGCGACCAAAGTTATATATTTTATAAAACTGGTTCGTGTTACACAGTAAGTCGCAGAAATATATTTTTTTATAATTTTCATGAGAAAAATATCGGAGCAGCTAAAAATAGGTGAACAGGTTAATAACAATTTAACCGAATTATTCAACGAAATTCCATATTCCGGATATTGTTGAAAAACTTCCCCAACAATATATCTAATTTCGTATGTTTCCTATTTAATAATAGTATATATTACTCAATCTCAAAAAAAAAAAATAATGATAACAAATGTCTGACTTTAATAGTTATATAGTAGCATCTGTTACACAGAGGTGAATTAAGCTATAAATGATTAAATGCTAAATATAAATGATCGTTAAGTATAAGGGTAACCCTGTTTACTGGATTTATATTGTTTCGCGTCTATTTTTATCCGCTTTTCATTTTTTCATTTTTATCATAATCAATTTATTAATTTATTCGTTTAATTTAAGAGAAACAATAACACATAAATCACATGACTTACAAATTTGCTCGCTTTTCAACATCAGGAAAACTTGAGCTTACTCATTTTGTAATTCTGTGTTATACAATCCTTGGATACCTTATTTTTTGATAAATGAAGAATAGGTTGTGAAATAACGACATTAGTTACCGTCATGCATTTTTATTATAAATGTTTGTGTTGTTTTGTTACTTTTTGATTTATATACATTAAAATTTTGTATATCCTAAAAGTATTTTGTTGTTAATTTAAAGTTCAGTACATTCCATAAAGAATAAAAATGTGAAACACTTCATTCTTACATCTGATCGAATTGCGTAAAATTGCATTTCATTACTTTTTGTGCCATCATTCTATAATTGATAATGCCTAGGAATAAAATTTTTGAAGTTTGGAATTTTTTTAATAAAAAATCTCCGAATCAATCTTCCTAATAATTGTTAATATTTACTTTGTCCTTCCGTTTATATTTTGACACCTTTTTTCACTCCGGTACATGCAAATAAATTCTTTATTTTTCCGATTATTAAATAATTAGTAATAAGTTTAAGACTTCGAAATGTCATTTATTTAGCATAATGAATAAGAATGTTGCCTAACCTTATATGTATCATGTATTTTTTTGACCGATAAATTTTCTTTTGGCTTACAGCAAGGATTCCTTTCGTTATCCTGAGGTTTCGACAGTTGCAAAATCGAAATTAGTTTTGAAATTTTTTTTAAATGCAAAACCGCGAAATTTTCGACGGTGGCAAATGTTTCGAAAGGTAGTAAAACTAACTAAAACTTTAATAGTAAACTTCAATTACTCTCAAAATAGAATTCCCTTTAAGTATATTTAATTATAACCTTTGAATTTCTTATAAATTTAAATTTATGTCCGAACCTCGAAATAATCTAGTCCAAAAAGAAAACATGTCATATTTAGTAATTTAGTAAAGAGAAAATCACAGAATCGTCAATAAAGTTGAAGCTATCGAAATCAAACTTAACTCGTCGAAATCAGTCGAAATTTCTAAACCATCGAAATTTTTGAAACTTTCTAAACTCGTTGAAATCCGTTGAATCCCGCTGAAAACCTCCAAACTGTCAACTTTTGCCAAAAAAAGATTAGGTTCTTAATGTATTTAATGTTCATCTTGAATAAAACCTGTTTCGGATAGATTTTAACAAGTATCTTTTATTAAAAAATCATTATTTTTTTAATTAATGTTTCGTTGATTAAATATTTTAAAAAGACAATTCTAAAAAAAATAATAATAATAATATGGTAACGAGTTTTATGTAATGATTGATAATTTGGGTTAGTAAATTATTGTGATTTGAAATTTTGTTTGGATAATATATAATTTTTATTAAAGAATTCGAAAATGTTTCTGATGTATATGCGACGGATTTCTATTGGTTATACTACACCCAATTTCACAGGTATCTCTCCCAACAACGTCCTCTATTAAATACGTGCGGTACCTAGGGATTCTTTCTGTAACAACGTACTCCTATTATTGCAGCTATAATAGTTGCAATACCTCCAAGAACACCTCCAATAATTGAACCACAAGCAGCATCACATCCACTAGAAGTTGTAGGCTTTTCATGATTAGGTGGGACGGGGGTGGAACGTACTCAGGAAAGCAAATTTGTCCGCTGAAGGAAGGATCGGAACAACTAATTTTGTTAAAATTTTGAATCTTGGCTTGCAGACGGAATACAGTGTTGCCTATAACATCCTTGCCAATGATTACATCATTGTTAAGATTGTCGTTAGTAATGGTGCGCCAATCGAACGTTTATTTTGAACTATTTGGTATACTGCAAATACTTGTGCTTTCACTCAGAATAAACATATAGTTAAGAAGAAAATGATTTAATAGGAAGATAGTAATAAAATGTTTAATAGATCGTGAAAATTTGATTATAAATATTTTTTGTTTAACTTTTTCAGGTTCTTCATACTATAAGTCACATATCAGTTTAGATTTTTCCTGTTCTAAATTTGTTGATACAGTTATGATCTAGATTTTTATAAAACAAATTTTTCTTGCATGCTTTGCAATAAGTGTGTTCTTGATAGTTTTCTATATTACAGGCAAATGTGTATTATAATCCTTTTTTAGATATTATTTGATTAGTTATAATTTGTTAACTTTGATATATCATGATAAATATCTTCCATTTCATTCTTTAAGCATTTATAACCAATAGTTGTAATTAATAAGCTTTAAAAAATTATAGAACAAGTTTCTTAAACTAATTATCTTCATTATTTTGGAGAGAATTTGCAGAAGATTGATACCATTCCATATTAAAATTAGAAAAATACTCTTCATTTTCATTCATTAACATGAAGCATTCAGCAATATATTCTTTTGGATTAATTCTGAATAAAGTATCGGCATTGGCATTTAATTTTTCTGGCTAATTACTAGTCGAAATAATTTTTTTTTTTTAAAGATGTGGTAGATGTGATACTGTCAGTACTTTATTAATGAATCGTATGGTAATAACTAGTTTAAAAATAAAAAAGTAAATACAAAAAATAAAGACTAACTATCCCTCGTAATTCTATTTTAAACCCGTTTGGATCGACAAATCACTAAAATTCTCCCTCAGTACCCTCCTAAAGAAAATTCTCAAGAAGAATACACATGATGAAAAATCTAATGAACATGTCAGCACTATTCCAAGAAGTCCCACCAGGAATAACCAAAATTGAGAGCTGAATATAACCAAGTTTTCTAATAATCAACTGAAGGCTTTCTCAGTTGAGAAGAAGATCGACCATTGACTTTATACTTTACTTTCTTTTTCTTCTGTTTAGCTCCAATATTAAGAGATTGTTCTATACTGATCATGGCTTTATAACGAGGAATCCAAATCAATTCATAGATAGAGTCATTTAATTTATCCAAAATGGAAACCAATATCTGGTCCACAATTGATTAAGAAAAGATGGAGCTAAGATAAATAACTAAAGATCTGGGAACCAAACCTTTCACCAATTGAATAAATTTGATGGGATTAGAGGTAAAGTTAAATGATTCCAAAAATTGTTGTTTGATCGATAGGTAAAAGTGTAATCCATTGTTATCAATTTTAGAAAGAAGTAGATTATCAGCAAAATCTATGAGTTCTGCAGATATGTTAATCAATTTATTCTTATTAGAGTAGCAAGTCCATAAGTGATCAGCAGTTTCAGAAGTAGTGTTACAAATAGCACAATTCCAGCCTTTATAAATATCTAGACGTCTGACTTCCAATTTTGATAATGTGGGTAGTTCTTCAGCAAGGAGTTTGATTTTAAAGGCCTTTTTACTCTATTGCAAAAAAGATGTGAGGATTTATTTCCATTGTCATTATCAGTCAAATAAAGTAGAGTTTAAGGCCAAGATATTTCGTTGATTAAGGTCTGTTATTTGATTGAACAATTTCTATTTAGTTCTAAGTATTCAGAAAATTGTGAAGCAGCACAAAGATCCTTCTAAAATTTTCTAAAGGAAGATTCAATAGAAACTTCCTTAAAAGATAACACAAGTCTAATATCCTCTGTTGAAGTAATATTTAATGTAAAAAGAGGGAGTTGACATCCTTGTTTTGCTAGTAAATCTGCTTTATCATTATAGAAATCATTTGAGTGCCCCTTGACTTTACTAAACGAAACCCTTAAATCAAGAGAGATATCGACATGTTTGACCAATGTCCAAATAGTAATGTTCAGAATTTTCTTAACAAAACGAGTCATATTAACATTGTTAAACAGACTGTGGAATCCTTGAATTACAGCTTAGCTGTCTAAGAAAATTGTTAGTGATGAAGAAGGAGGACAAACAATTATAGCAGTCAGTAATGCAAATAATTCAGCTCTTGTTGAAGATGGATGATGTTGAATGGCAGCAGAAAAGGAGCATTGATCATGATTGTGTAGATCAGGAGAGATCCAACCTTCCCATACGACTATTGATTGTTATAATGTCCATTAATGAACCATCATTGTAAATGTTAGGTGGATTGTTACAATTAAAAAATACATCAGAAAAAGTAGTAGAGAGTTGTTGGAGTTGAAGTGCGTAGAAAGGGTTGTTCAATAAGGTCATTAATTTAAGTATGATTGATAGGAATTATAGGAGGTGAGATCAAAGGCAACACAGGAACAATTTGCTGTTGTTGTTGTGTTCTAAGTGAATGTAGTCACAGTGATCGGTATTTATGGGAATTAAGAATCACTTTTAGTAATTGCATCATGATACTTATACCTTTGATTGGGTATGAAGTTTTAGCTTTTTTAATTATGACAATGTGAGCTGGATCACAAGACTGCACACATGTGATAGATTTCAATGGAGGGCTGCCTTTTTTAAAGCGAGGTCTTTTGAGAACATCCAAAGTTATGGATTGTTAAGATCACAATTTTCACAAGGAATAATAGAGCGTTCTACATGTTGAGGAAGGATTCGATTGTTACTAGAAGCAAGGACTAAGTTTTGATAAGCCAGTGAATTATCTGCAAGATATTTTCTTAGGATCCTTCCAGTGATTAGTCGATTTGATTGGATGTGAAAAACTGACACAAATTCTCTAGTTTTACTATTAATATCTACATCTAAACTTGGAGAA